ACGAAGAATTACTCTTTCCATGATGATGCGACCCGTTGTGTGTTTGCTGGTTTTTATGCTGAGTGTTGCCTCTGTATGTGCGGAAGGTGACGGTAAAGCTGATGAGGCACTTCCACTTGAAGCTGCTGCTTCGGAGTGCCCTACTGAATCTCAAGGGCATTGTACAACGAAAACAAAACCAGCAGTTTCTCATCCTCCTCCTCTTCCTGTTCAACCACCACAAGCACCTCCTGGTGGTGATGATTGTACTAATGGACATCCATGTAGTACTAGTAGTAGCCGTGTTTCAACTACAGCTTCTCCTACTAATTGTGCAAACCCTGCTAAGAAGGAAGGTTGCCCTGACAGTGTTCCGCAGACAGAAAGCAATTGCCCTGGTGATTCTGGTGATAATTGTCAAGCACCCCAACAGGCTCTCACTCAAACAAGAAAAGATCACCATGATGGACACGATTCTAAAGGTGATCGTGGTTTAAGTGGGTCTGAAACTCCGGATTCTCCCGGTAAAACAGGTCAAACTGGTCCTGGTGGTCCTTCTACTGATACTGATCCTTCTAACCCTTCTCCTACTACTGCTGAACCTGCTCTTCCTGCAGCTCCTGTACCTTCTGATGAGAGTGTTGGTGCGTCCACAAGTGCAGCTCCACCTGAAAGTAGCAGCAACAGTGACGCAAATGGCAATTTAACTAAGGAGGACGGTGACGCAACAAAAACGCCTTCAAACACTTCAGAGAAAGAGAATACGGATGGTTCTGAAAATACAGAGAACGGCACTACATCTGAAGGGGGTGAATCAACAATAAATACAGCTGATTGGGGAAATGCAGAATCAACCACCACCACCACCACAACAACAACACTTCCTCCTGAACCCATAAACAACAAGAAGGGTGATGCAGACAGCAGCAGCAGTATCAGCAGTTCTGTGTGGGTGCGTGTACCACTACTAATTGTGGTTACACTGGCCTGTATTCTTGTGTGCTGATTGTAATGGTGTGGTGGTGTGACTCAGGTCATCCTTTGTTTTCTTTTCTTTTTTTTTTGCATGCATGCAATCCCTACAGTCTAACTAATCTTCCACCTGTTGGGATTATCTTCTTTTTTTGTTTCTTAATGTTCATGTGTTTTGTGTGTTTTTTGCTCTCTGTGTGTTTATCGTATAATAATAATTATTATTGCTACTCCATTGTGTGTGTGTTATTGGAGACTCTCTGTGTGTGTGCACCTGGGCTTTGCACTGTGATGATGATGATGATGAACTGCTTTTTGCAGTGAAAAAAGAGATAATAATAACAGATGAGTTTATATAATTGCATATATACACACATATAGACTTACACCCATAGTTGGTGTATTTCTGTGTGTACTGGATAAATTGGGCTAATGGTTAATATCTGTTTCTTTGCTTGATGATTTTGCTCGTGGTTCAGCCTTTTTTGAGATATTTCTGAGTGTGAGCTTTTTTTTTGTTTTTACTCTTACTGAGGTTATTTGCGCTGTATTGCATTCTTTAACTGGTAGGTTTTACTTTCACAATGTGAGTTTCCATAGTGGTATTTGATTTGTGTGTCCTAACATGTTTGATACGTCAGTTATTTTTTCTTTTTTTTGCTTTTTGATTGTCTATTTCTTCCTAGATCAGTGTTTTTACGTGAAACAAACCCCTTGTCTTTCTCTCATGATGATGGGCCGTGTGATGTGTGTGTTGGCCGTTGTGCTGTGCTGTGCCTGCGGGTATACGAGTGCAGTTTCTGATTGGGAAGGTTTTCCTTATGTTTCTGACGAGGAGAAGAAACAAGCATTGTGGTTGGTGTGTAAGAATAACAGTAAAGCTACTATTGGTAAATTTAATTGTACGCACGCGATACAACCACCAGGGGACACGAAACCTTTACCAACATCAAAGGCAACCGTTGGTGGACCTGACCCTGGTTCAACTGAAAGGACAAATACAGTGGTTGATGGAAAAGGTCATCAACAAGACGGAGGTAGACTCGAAGTGGTAAAAGCCCCTGGAAGTCCACTGCATGAGGATGCATCAGGAGACCCTGTCGCTGCTGATGAAGCTACAGGACGGGATGCAGGGATTACGTCTTCTTCAGGTTCTGCAGGAACACTGAGCAACACATCTGATAACTGTACACCTGTCAACTCTACTCCTAACCAGCAGTCTCCGGACATCACCAACCAATCTCAAGGTTCAAATACGAGTGCACCTAATTCTACGTCTGGCGCAGACTCACAAGAAACAAATTCCACTATTCTGGCCAGCACTACGAACACTACCACTGAAGCACCAACCACCACTCCATCTCCTGTACCCAACGCAGAGATCAGCAGCAGCATCGCCTCCTCTCTACAGAACAAGGCTAATGGTGACAGCAGTGTCAATCCTGTGTGGATGCGCACTGCAGCACCGCTACTGATTGTGGCTGTGTTGGTCTCCGTTACCGTGTACTGAACGGTATGACTCATTAAAGGACAAATAATAATAATGGTTAAACTAACATTATCTTAATTGCGTACATCCCCTATGGGTGAATAAATTAATAATCCGTTTATCAGCTTTCTCTTTTAATTGGAATTTCTTTTCTTTTACTTTTATGTGTGTGTTCTTTTTTTAATAATTTCATTACTTGCTTTTCCCGTTGTTTGTGTGTGCAGAAAACTGGGCTGTTCTGCTTACTGAGGGTATACATTTATTCTAAATATAGACATGCGTGTGTGTGTGCACCTTTTTTTTTCTTTTTAACTGGAATCTTTGGGATTGGGTGTTATCTTTTTTAAATAATTCCATTACTTTTTCTTCCTGTTGTTTGTTTGCAGAATTTTTGTTCTTCTGCTCACTGACGGTACAATTGTTTTACTGGTACACATGAATATGTGTGTCGCAATTATTCTTATTATTATTGAGTTTTTTTTGGTTAATGGATAGTTGTTTTTTCTTTGTTCTTTTTTTTTTTATAGGTGGTAGGTATCGCAGGTGGAATTCCTTTTTACTTTCGTATTCCTTTTTTTTCTTTTTAGAATGTTTCGCTGTACACGCCCAGAACAGCACCGTAGCGGCAAAGCTCGTGCTTTTGTGTTCCGTGATCCCACGCTTAAAATGATGCGGGCGGGTAGTGGATATCAACAACTTCGGCGTATGGGAATGCCTGTACACAAGTGGGTTTGGGATGGCGGAAAGTGGATAGTTTCCACGCGAATAATCAGTACCAGCATGCTTGGCCGCTTCTTTCTCATGATGATTTGGGAAATAGTGATCAGTCGAATAATACAAAGAATATCATGTACTCGATGTACATGCCGNGATGAATTTATATTTATAATTGCGTATATACACACATATATAGACTTACACCCATAGTTGGTGTATTTCTGTGTGTTTACTGGGTAAACTGGGCTAATGGTTAATATCTTTTTATTTGCTTGATGATTTTGCTGGGCGGTTCAGCCTTTTTTTGAGATATTTGTGAGTGTGGGCTTCTTTTTTGTTTTTACTCTTACTGAGGTTATTGCGCTGTATTGCATTCTTTAACTGGTGTGGTTTTACTTTTCACGATGTGAGTTTCCATAGTGGTAATCCATTTTTTTGTATCCTAACATGTTTGATATTTTATTTATTTCACTTTTTGGTTGTCTTTCTTTCTAGATCAGTGTTTTTACGCAATCCAAACCCTTGTCTCTCTTTCATGATGATGCGCCGTGTGATGTGTGTGTTGGCCGTTGTGCTGTGCTGCGCCTGCGGGTATACCATGACGGCTGCTGCTACTACTGTTAATGCTGGACAGCCAAAGGCAGTGATGGCGCATTGGAGTGGTTGGGGTGATTTAGATCTTTCGGTTCCCAAGAAAGCCGGTCCAGAACCTGATAAAGGGAGAACCGGTGCCGATCCTCAGAAGCTCACCCCTGACGCGTTACCGGGTGCCGAGGAAAGAAAAGATTCTCTTGTTTCCAGTGAACTAGAGTCTCACTCCGTTACTGGGGATGGTACTGTTTCTCCATCGCAAGTTCAAGTTCAAGAACAACAGAAAGTAGTTAGGCCAACTGAAGATGAACAATCTTTGCAAGTTTCCCAACCAAAAGAACAACCAT